GGTTGGTCCCATTTTTGGCAAAAAATATTTCAGTGTATTACTGATTTCTACCATGGCTTCTCTAACACCATGTATGTCTTGGCGAATCAATTTTAATTCATTCAGTGTTTCCTGAAATACTTCATTTTCGAAGTCTGCCTGTGTTTTTTTTTTCTTTGCCTTTGGTAAGTATTCATGGTCATGATTTGCATCCTATAAAATATGGAATTGTTATGAACAAAATGGATAATAAGTGCAGGTATAAGTTGCTGATACTTGGAAAAGTTACATACTTGGATAATTTTTCTGTTTTCTGATGACTTCTTTAGAGTGTTTCCTAATTTATCTTGGGACTCACTTTGTTGAACCTTCAATAAGTACATTTTTTAATCAAAAATGAAGTACAACAATCAATATACAATCAAATGTACCTGAGATCTGCCAGAGTATTTTGATAATATTTCTCTTGGTCCATCTAGAACCAAAACCTGTGGCTGAACCATCTGTTGAACCTAAAATATTTTATTTCAAATATGTTGCAATATTGTTTTTTAACAACTTACTTGTGAAGTGCTTACATGAAATAATTCATTCTCTGTGAACTTGTCAATCTGAATGTCATTAACTATTTGGTTATCTTGAGATTCTTGAGGGACCTGAAATATGTTTCTGGTCACTTGTAATGCATATACTCAAACCTGTATTATATTTTACCCCACACTCACTACTATCAACACCTTCGAAGAATGTTGTTCCCAAAATGCCTAAAATTTTAATTCCCCAATCAGTTAAAGGTGTTTCCTTATCTGGGCCTCCTCCGGTTCTAGCATACTCTTTTTTATTATTTGCAGCTTTCTTTTTCACATTATACTTTATATCAGCCCAAGTCTAAAAATTTTCATGATATGAATACCAAAGAAGTGAAAAAAAACAACAAGACAATCACAACTAATGATACTTTGGTATTGTGATTCAATACTAAAAACAAACCACTAGGAAATTACCTTTTGCCATTTCTCCACAGAACGACTACCAAATCCTAAGGCATTCAACTCGGCTGACAAACGCTCCCACAATTTTCTATGCATTGCTTTTCCTGTAGGTCCAGCGAATTTACCTTTGGCAAAAGCATCATGTTGTTCCATAAAACAAACCATTAATTGCCAATGACTACTATTCATTTTGAATGACATCACACTGGTCAATAAACTGTGATAATGATAATAGAAAAAAATCCAAATTTGAATATTCCTTAGATCAATTCTTTTCCTCGCCGATCGACGCTAACCTCATTCTTCAACTAACATAACCTCACTTTATTGTAATTCGATACCTCTCTAGGTATCGTATTTCTCGTCATATCGTTAGTTCATAATCGCTAGTCTCGTTTTCAAATGGCGGATACGATACGGATAGACCGTTCGTAATCCCCCAGCAGATTCAGGATTCGAGAAGTGGTCGGTTGGAGGGCTCTTTGAGCATCTTCGATGCCATCGGAGTTCACCACTATCTCGATCCTGAGTTATAACGAAAAAGCGATACTCTGCAACCGTTTCCTGTGCAGCCGTTTGAAATGTTTCCGCCATGGCGGTCTTTCGCTGCACATATAGGCTGCACTCCGAGAATCCACCGAACACGGCGTGCACGGTGGCTTTGGTCTTCCTCTGCGCCTTGATCAGATGGTACGTCGAGTCGTACGCTTGGAAGTACGTCACCTCTGGCATCCTGTTCACGCCGAACGGGTAGCTACAACTGGCGCACCCGCCCTGTATGAGGTCGTGACACATGTACACCACCAACTCGTTCGACGAGCGCAGATGGTCACGTACCGTCGGCAGTGTGAAGGAAGAGCGGCCGATCGTTCATGTGTCTGAGCACCGTGCCGAAGTGCAACTGCACCAGCAGCACTTCGGCACGGTCTCTGACGTACACGTTCAAAACGAAATCGATGTCGTATGGCCGTGCCAAGATGCCGTGTTGGCACTGGTTAAACAGGTATCGGAGTTGACCGTACTTGGCGTCTTCGTCGAGGTCGATTTCCTGCTCGGTCATGCCTCCGGCTCGTCGGCGCTGATCCATCAGGAATCTGGTGATCGCCCTCACACCTGATCGCTGTCTTCGCTAAACAATCTCAGCATTTGGTATACCTCATTCCCCACGCCTACTGCAGGAGCGGCGGCGGCGTTGTTGTAGCCCCTGGTGATGGTGAACATCGCTGCCGGAATGCCGTGCGTGATGGTTGTCGAGGTCATTGGCAGCGTATCGAGAGCGTGTCTCATCGCCCTCGACATGAACCATCTCTTGGCTCCTGCTGGCACGCTATGGGATTTGGACATCGCGGGTACCAAGGTGTTGAATTGCCTGGACCCGCCCGAATGGAATTTCCTGTGGTACTTGAGGTCGAATCGCTCTCGCAGCACCTTCAACAGCTCGGAATTCTCGCACTTCCTAGTCATCCTATCGAACCTGATCTTCAGGATTCTGGGCATGTTGAAGCATTTGGGCGATCCGACGAGGAACATCATAATAGTAATAGAAATAAAAATAGAAATAGAAACTTCATCGATCCATAAATTACCACAATAATAAGGGTGTTCGACAAGTCAAGTTGTATATATCTAGTGTGAAATTGAAATAACTTGGATTGAAACATCCTCAAATACATACATAAAAAATTAGAACGATACAATACAGTAATCATGGTAGGTACATTAAAAAAACAGTGAGTTAAATAAACTAGTATGGAATAAAGTATGCAATATAAAATTATCTGTGAATTGACTAGAGGCTATTCCTGTCCAAAAACTCATTTACTGTGTAGAAAGTGCCAGATATCAAGAATTCTTTACATTTTCTCTTGGAATTCTCGTAGCGAGAGATGGTTTTCAGTTCCTTGGGAAGGGCATCAGATAATTGTAAAGCAATGAATTTAGGAGATCTAAGGAACATTGCAGTTTTATGTTTCTCTCTTTCATTCTCCAGGCAACTGAAAGTTTGAAGGCACCGCACGGCGGAGGTAAAAATTGATACATTGTGTTTTTTCTTTATTCAATATGAGTGTTCCGCTGGCACCAAGACGTCATCTCATTATAGGTAACTTCAATGTTTTCGTGTAACTCCTCTAGGGTCGCTGCTGATACAGTTATGGTAGTATCATCTACAAACATAGTGATTAGACCTAAGCTTATATTTCTAGGTAGATCATTTGCAAAAATGATGAAAATGAGAGGGCCCAAAACTGATCCTCGGGGTACAAAAAGGAGTACCTCGTGACTTTCTGACAGGTCATTTTCGGTTTTAAACAATAATTTTCTAATTGTTGAATAGCAATGAATCCAATTCAACATGACTCCTCTAATTCCAATGGTGCAAAGTTTTTCAAGAATGAATTCAAAATGTATACTGTCGAATGCTTCAGACAAATCAAACATCAATGAAGCAACATATTCTCCACAATCTAACTCGTGATAAACATAGTCCAAAAGGTGATTTGTTGCCGTTTCTACAGATTTACATCTCCTGAAATCATGCTGTGATATTGATAATATATAATTTTTTTCAATGGAACCCATAATGATGTCATATGCTGCTCGTTCAAGGATCTTAGATGAAACTGGCAAAAGAGATATTTGACGATAATTATCAATGAAATGCGAACTACTTTTTTTGAAAAGAGGAAAAATAAGGGCGACTCATCAAATCAGGAAATTTTCCAGATTGCAATGATAGATTGACTAGCCAAGTTGAGGGGGATAATATAGAATCAGCAATAATCTTGATTATTCTTGGTGAAATATCATCAGTTCCAGAAGAATTTTTGTTCTTCAAATTTGTAATGATATTCATCACTTCATGCTCCCCCATGAATGGAACAAAAATACTTTGTGACACTTCATCAGATACGGTGCATGTGTTGAAGGTGATTGAACCGAAGCAATCAATGATTTCATCATGGCAGTTTATTATGTGAACTGATATAGTAACAGATGACAAACTGAAGAATTTCACTGGTGTGAATAATTTCCAAATATTTTCCACTCTATTGTGCAAGTGTTCGAGAAGTATTATAAAAATAAAAGAGTCCACAGACTGAGTTCAAGACAGAGCGCATCATGTTGGTACTTACCAAACTGGAGACATGTCTGTCTGACCTATATGTGATGATGGGTGCTCTTTTCAATATAACCCCCTGCCCTAGAGTTGTGTATATATGAAATGAGACCAATATTATGTTCAGTTTTGAGACCACTAATCCATTTCCCTAGCCAAATCGAAATTGGTAAGAATATTCCAAAGTGTTTCTCAGAATTTCAAAATGTGAGAGTAGTGTTGGATTGCACTGAAATATTTGTACACAGTCTCCTAAAAATGTCTTTGTACGAGCATAATCTCTTCGTGAGATGCATGCTCATAGATAAGGGTGTCGGACTTGACCAGGGTCAGCAATCTTCTACGCACTCCTAAAGCCTTCATCTTTCGTAACAACGCCACTGTCGTCACTGCCTCCTTCCATATCAACAGTCTCTTCCTCATCCTGTTAGTGCTCGAGAACGAACTGCACGATGGCTCTGTCCTCGTCGTGGGAATATTTCGTCCTCGCGTTCACCTGAAGTTGCTCGGCAGGGGTCGGTGGCGTATGCAGCACCGGTGACGATGGCATCAGGCCCTTGCTGCTGCTGCTGCCGCCTCTGTGTAGTGAGCTGAAGACCACTCGCAAGATTGGTCTCAGGCGACGTCTATTAGAGCTAGCAGCAGCAGCAGCAGCAGCAACCGGCGGTTGGGAGGAAGGTCCTGCAGCTGCTTCATCTGCAGCGGAAATCTAATTTGCTCCCAACACCAAAGTCTTGCTGAACTTATCGGCTGCGTCGGCGGCGGAGATGGCGGCAGCAGCAGCAGCGACTGTGATGGCGGCGGCACTAGTGGCGGAGGGGGCAAGAGGTTTCATTCGTGTCGAAACGACCTGGTGGCGATACAACGGCGACCGAAATAACACCAGCGTTTCGAGCAACGCCGCCGCTCGAAACGGAAAAGGAGGTGGAGGAGGCGGCAGAAGCAGGCGATGGTGGTGGGGGAGACGACGACGACGCAGAAGAGAAAGTAGAAGAAGACGACGATGACGACAATGGTAGTGGTCCTCCTTCTTCTCGACGAAGACGACGTTGACGACGAACGAAATCGACGGATGTCGCAGAAGATGAGGATGTAGCAGCAGCAACAGCAGCAGCAGCAAAAAAAAACAAAAGGAAGAGGTGTGTTCCCTCCAATCACTCCTGCATCATGAATTAGGCAGGCTACTGGATAGGACTGAAAATAGGGTTGGATTCAAAACTATGAGGTTGGAAGATGTTCAGATACTATATTTCTGAGTACCTGCCTTTCGGCTCAACTCAGGGATATATATTTGAAAGGATAGGGTCACAGGTAGGTTTCCTGTTCCCTTTGTTTTAGCTAACTCCCTTTATTGATTCAACAATCACAGATTTGTTCAAATTTCAAGGTACTTCATATAATAATATACTACTACAGTTTATATTTCTAATTGTATTGCAGTCTTCAGTTATCGTTCATTGCATCTCAGTCTTCTTACTTCCTTTCTTCCCGTTGATATTCTCTACTTCATTCTTCTTTTTGACCTCTTCTTTCTTCTTTCCTTCTTTCCTCTTCCTTCTTCCTTCTTCCTTCTTCCTTCATCCTTCTCCATTTCTTCTTCCTCGTTGTCTTTCTCCTTTTCTTCCTTCCTTCATACATAGTTTCTCTTCCTTCTATATATTCTCGAGGAATGTCATCTATTACTCATGAAATTTTCTAACATCGTCAAGTCCGGTCGCAAGTTATATATAATGTCGCTAGCTTCTCTATATTCTTGGCCCATAACTTCGTGGAGATGTTCTCTTTGCCTGATGAATTGCTCACAATTCACCAACCTATGTTCCGGCGTGTCTGGCTGGTTATTTCCACAATACAAACATTCGTCTGATTTAATTTTTACTATCGTATTTAGGTGAACCCTAAATTCTCCATGTGAGGATAGGAAGAAAATCAATTTTCTACTGAATATTTCATGTGGGGTAGAAGTCCATGTTCTTAAATCTCTCATTAGGGTGTATGTATTCCTTCCTTTTGTGGAATTGTCCCAACGTTCTTGCCACTTAGAGATTTCTTGACTCTCCATGTGTAGTTTTAGTGCTATCCAGTAGCGGTATTCATTAGACACTATGTCGTTCCCCATAAAGTTGGTTCTGCCTTGGGATTTCAACCCTTTCAAGGCTAGGATCTTTTGAGCCTGA